CTCCCCATCTCTCCCCACCTCTCCCCATCTCTCCCCATCTCTCCCCACCTCTCCCCACCTCTCCCCATCTCTCCCCACCTCTCCCCACCTCTCCCCATCTCTCCCCACCTCTCCCCACCTCTCCCCATCGCTCCCCATCTCTCCCCATCTCTCCCCACCTCTCCCCATCTCTCCCCATCTCTCGCCTGGACCAGCTGGCAAGGCGTGTGCGGCACACACACGGCCACGGATGGCTCTTGCCTTCCCGAAAAGGAAATGACTCGCGGTTGCTCCCCTCTCCCCAGGCGGAGCGCGGCGAGGAGGAGTCTCGCCGCAGCGACGGTATCGACCGGCTGGCTGCCGTCGCGGGCCTGCCGCCCCCCTCGCAGGGCGGCTGGCTCGACATGCTCTGTGAGGTGCGGCAGCCCACTACGATAATAATAATGATGATGATGATGATGATGATAATGATGATGATGATAATAATAATAATAATAGGTGGGGCAGGGCCTCCCGCTCCCGATGACGGTCTCGTCGGCGGAAGAGGCGGCCGAGCAGAGCGTGATACGTACTCTCTCGCCACCTCACATCTCGCCATATCTCGCCATATCTCCGCACAGGCGGCCGAGCAGAGCGTGCTCTTCGTCAACGACTTGTTTTGCTCGCTGACCGGATACGCGCGCCGAGAGCTCGAGGGCCGCTCCCTCCGCCTCCTCGACGGCAGGGAGACCGAGCCCGGGGCCAAGCACGCGATCCGTATCTCCCCAGATCTCCCCAGATCTCCCCATATCTCCCGCAGGAGACCGAGCCCGAGGCCAAGCACGCGATCCACTCGGCGCTCGGCGCTGGCCGCGCAACCACCGTCGTCATCACGTCGCACCTCAAGGACACGTCGTCCTCGCGCCACCTCGTGCGAGTGCAGCCCGTCACTGACGAGTCGGGCAGGCACTGCTACACGGTCGCGCTGCAGGTCGAGGCATTCTCACCGCCGGCCGTCATCGCCCTCTTCGATCGGATCGCCGCCGTGCTGCCCTCCACGATGCCAGACGGCGACCGGTGGGGCGATCCCCTCCCTCCCTCCTCCCTCGGTCGCTTCAAAGGAAAAAGAAGTCTGCTGATATTTCGGGGGTGCCATACCGGGAACGTCGTCTACAGTCTGTTGAGGGCCGTAAGAAAACGTGCTTAAGAAACCAAGCGATTTCCGCGAAAATCTAAAGAAACTATTGTCTACTTGTACGGCGTCGCCGACACGCGCGGCCCCCAGAAAGGGCCCCACACTCGAGTGTGAACAAGAGCCCCGCTTAAATTCTCTCTTCACCTGTCGCTTCGGCGCGCGCATTTTTCATTTGCCCAA